CGTAAAACTAAACAGTTGATCTGTACCCAGTGTGGACTGCCGATATGCTATTGCCATTGCGTCTACTAAACTTCCATTTGCAATACTGTTGTTCTGATTTCGGTTGAGTGTAACACGTCTGGTCCGGGGAACTTTGCACCATCGAGGTTGACGAGTAGTCTGCATCGCATTGTAGGCTGTCGAGCAAGACTATCGCAACCTGCGCTGCTATTACAACTGATATGACCTGAACTACTCCAAGTAGGTGGATAAAAGACTGGCTCGTGGATATGACCAGGTAGTATTGATACAACAAGTTCAAAAGTCAAGAGTCGACATGTGTCCCGTAAGGGCTGAGTTATACGATTCATTAATGGTTAACTCACTAATGATTGGCTGGGCAGTGGCACAATCTGATTGGATCGAGGGATAGCTGGGATCGGGTGATGTGCAGCAATTTGGGTTAGGCTTCCGTATATGACAAGAACAGCCGTCGTTTTACTGGAAACTACGGTGGAGGAAGTGCGAAGAAAAGATGGCTGCGTGCCCTGCGCTTGAAATAAGCGGCCATCCGTCCAAGTTCTCTAAGACCGGCGGATCGCCCGTGAGTTTCAATTTACGTTTCAAGTATGTAACTATTTCCTTGGAAGCCGTTGTGGCCTAAGCTTCTAGCCCCTCTTCGGATTGCCAACGTTTCTTTTTCTTTGTGACGTTACATAAGTTACGCTGTTTCTTGTGCACTGTTAATCTTCATCACAACCCGATGTGCTGTATCTATCCCAAAGTTCGCGACGCTATCGTGCTAACTTCTTATATTCCTTGTCAAACCAATGCGGTTTGACAGGTCCGACTTTTGAATAGTTCAGGGGAACGAACCGAGTACACAGCGAGTTAATTTTCCCCTTCATTAAGTACCAACAGACCTCAAACGAGGCATCATGTGGTAGTGTCCAATCAGTCGGAGTTGCGGTTTGGAAGACCCCGTAGAAGTCCGTCTTCCAAAAGTTGAATGTCGGCTTCCGTTGGTTGCAATACGGTAGCAGCACTTCTATACTTGGCACAATGTAGCACTTTTCATTGTTCGCTAGAGGTTCGAGGTCTCTGACCTCTTACGGATTCTACTCGCAGCTCGTAAACATTAAGCCAAGAAAAGGTGCCGAGTGCGGAGGTATGCGCGTAGGTTAGGCGACATGTTGCGTTGCCGCGCTTGCCCCGATTTGCTAACATGGGATAAAGGAAGCAAGCTCCCTTAACCCTTACAGTCCAGAGAAAACTAGTTCTACTACCATACCAGGGAGAAATCGCTGCTGAACTCACAACTCGTCACCAGTCTCATGATCTCAGACGCACTTTCCTAGCAGCTAAAATGCAATTCCAGTTTGTCGGTAGCCCAGTGGTTAGAACTAGCCCCGGAGACAACGGGCGCGTTCACGCCAAATCAGTGTGTATTTATTCGTTCTTCTCTTCCTGTGCAGCAGTATACATCGGCCGAACGACGAGATGCCTGTCTGAAAGGGTTAAAGTACACCATCCGGCTTGGCTCATGACCGCTTGCTGAAAACAAACCGACTCATCTATAGCTACGCATCTCGCGGACACTGACCAGGCCGCCAACTTGGCTGAGTCACTCAAGATGATCTACTAGGTACCAGACAATCGATCAACGTGCGTTTGTAGGCGTTTGCTTTAATTCGCGGCCAATGCGATTCGACTGGACGAGCCGGAGTTGTGTGTACAGAAACGGCTCGTTCAGACGTTAAAACTGCCTTGGCCTACCCGAACTGCGACATCCGACCCACAGCATGGATTATACGCCGCACTTGTGCACTAACGGACATTGATTGTGCTTGATCAGTGATTGTGAACTGAATTTGTCTTAACAACCTTGATGTTGTGTCAAACATTTTGTCTTTTTCCACATATAATTGTACAAGCCTGAAGAGGGATTATGGAAAATATGTTCGCTTGTATCGACCTTTAATAGTCATTTTAGCGAATTGAGCCTCAACGTCGCCATGACCGGGAAGAAGCCGAATGTCTAGCCAGAATATCTTAGGTAACTTTAGGTCCTGCATCAGTAAGAACTGAGGGCGGCTCATGTGCTTCAGTACATGTGGAAGCCAATCGCAAGAGCGCTTTAATGGGCTAAGCTAGATAACACCCACTGTCAGTTCTGCGCGTCTGAGGCGGATTGAGCACCACATTTACTCACATAAGTTATCCTCCTTCCAATAGGTGCTGATAAGTTTGACAGCTAGTGACGACATGAGCCTTTGATTTTCGGTCGCATCGGAAACAAGAGTATCTTGACAAGGCGATTTCTTGGGGTATGACGTCGGAGCTCAACCAAGTCTCTGCAAGTACTAAGACGTCCGGCCTCTCCGAGACAGCGAAGCGGCACGGTTCGTCACGTTTGTTCATTAGGCTGTACACGTTGGCGAGTGCCACACAGAGGTACTAGGAGGTAGCGCGGGATGTGCCTAGAGGTTGAGCAACTGGCTGATACGGGTTCGTACACCCTACTTGATCACTCGAAGATTTACAACGTGTAAGTCACCATCTCCTGTACGGTGTTTGAGCTCAAAGACCCCAGTCTTCAAACGATCCCTGCCTTCGGGTTCCAAGTCTCGGCGGATATGAACCTTTATGCATTTCAGCCTTGACAGACGAGACAGTATCAGCTGCGGCATTTTGGGATTTGCAAAGGTGATTCTCAGAGGTTCACATAACTGGTTATTTTGCTGGCCAAGTCGGATTACTTGTTTAATCGTCACACTGTCTTCACCCACATCCAAGAGTCTGTCGAGGAACCTCTGGAGGAATTCAACTAGCTGATCATAACGTATCTGAGGGTTTTCATCTTTTGAGTCTGGTGCGTGGATGATAAATGAGATTATGACGCTTCAGCGAAATCAGTGATGAATCTGTGGGTGCAGGATTAAAAGCGCTCATCAGTTTGTGTTGTTGTTTACCAGCAGGAGGCGCCTGAACTCGGTTACGTAGTACCTTACGTTTTAGAGTGGTCTGTGGATCCTCGGTGTTCAGACGTTCACAGAGAGACTCTGAGTAATCCACACACCGATCCGTCAAGCGGCATTTCGGAGGTTCGGCGTCTGAATCTTCAATCCGTGGGGAACATTGAACGTGAGACTCTGCCGAGGTTGAAGACGCTGGTAGTAGTGCTGATGGAGGAGTGGCAGGGGAAGGTGAGTTGACAGAGGTACTTTCACTAGGACGTTTAACACCACGAGGTGAACGGTGTGCTTCCGCCTGTAACAGAGGTTTTGCTGTAGTCCTTGGCGGTTGCTGTGTATTCTGATGTCTTGCACCGCGATAGTTATCACATATAACTTGAAAAAACCGATGTCGAGAGGTTTTCGAAACACGTCAACGGATAAGCCAATGCATGACATGTGGAATAAAACATCGCAGCCGAAGAACCGAAATGCCTAAGCCTTATGTCCAATAACTTTCGAACACGAACCACAAATAGCTTGAGACGGCATGACAAGGTAGAACAAATTCAGGAGGGTGGACACACACGGCTGTTGGGCCAATCAATGAAATCTCCGGCATTAGCTAGAGAATATCCACCAAAATTGCACAGATTGAAATATACACCAAAATAAAAATAGTGGTGCGCAATTCACACTGCGAAACACGTATAACACAGTAATCCGAAGCAAAAGTAGAATCCAACACACGTTGATTTAAAAATCCGCGGCGTCCGTGGGTACAGCTGATGTCTGGCTTTTGCTAAAGGACAGTGATTTACCTCGACATGCTTTTTTAGTGCTTATGCAATCCATAGAGCCAATTTCACTCAGATGCCAACGTGTTCAAAATTCGGGTAATGAGTCACAGTGAAACAGAGAAGTGTGCAAGTCAAAAAATGTAAAGAGCAAATTCGACACTAAGAACGTAAGGAGGATAGCACACAAAGCTCTTAAACCAACTCGATGCTTTCGCTTACGTATTACTGATCAAATTGCACTTGCATCCTGACCGTTACTCACCGGTCAGAAAGCTGTCCAATTTTCAGCCGATCCGGAAGCCCATAGGCAACCAGAGAGAAGTCAACTATTTACTTTTCATCTCTCGTCAACCGTCACACCTGTAGACTTCTCCATCAGGCACATCGGACTAACCCAATAAACTCAGCCACATAAGGGCACTTGAAATGTGTACACCGAACACATCAATAACTTGTAAAAAACAGTGCTTTGCTTAGGGCATCTCCTTACATGACACCAGTGGTAGAAGACTGATGGAAGAAATGTACGTATCAAAGTGTGTGACTCACTCTTGTCCCAACGTATAGAAACGAGAGTGATGAACTTGGCGGTCTCATGCTGGAACACTGCTTTAGTTCTGCAAGTCCAAAAGAATAGGCAAGGAGTCTGTCACCGATGTAACACAGTTAATGTACAATACGTGGCATGTGATTTAAAAATGAAAAGTTACAAATCCTTGTTGTGACTTGTGACTAAGCTCGTTTAAAAGTGGCATCACCAACATTCGTTCCAGCAATCGGTCCACAATACTCGAAACCACTAGAATATAGTTTATAGAGCAACATCTGGCAGGCATGTCACAGCTCACTCTTAGATGTCAGAATAACATCTGATTTGGTCTATTGATGCGAAAAAAATACTTGATGATATCTGTAGGGATGTGATTTTAACTTGGAAACCGAAAGTTTGGTTTATATGCTCCGGTGTGTGACACGAATGCACATGTCCACCTGAAGCTAAAACCATTAACTCCGACGAGCATCGTCAAACTTGTCAGAGCGCATCTTGGCGTGTTGTGTGTCCTTTCATGGTACTTTTAGATTTTGTTTGATGAAGATTAACAGCTGTATAGGACGTCATTTGTGACGCACTATGTCACTAGGATTTTGGTGGATCGTAACCCGTTACATTTCACATCGATACTATCTAATTTATCTCTGTGGGTAATCTGATTGAGTCGAAGTATGTTGAAATGTCCATTTACGTTCGCCCATTAACCCATCACAGCATACGACACCGGAAAGGTCATCCACAGTGGAAGAGCAAGCTGCCGTACTTAAACTGTACGTTTTGCAGATCAAAAGCGAACTGAACACGCTTCTTAAAGGAACTAGGGTTGTGGCCCCTGATATCCGCATCATTCAGAGCTCACCCACCGAGACTCTATATTCCACCCACACTCCGCTACCGATGACCGAATATTCAGAAGAAGTTCAACGCGAGTACGAACGGAAGATGAAAGAGGTATGTACTTGGCGTTTACATTTTCAGTAGTGTCGTATAGCACTCACATAACTATTCACGGAGAAGCTGAACTGAAATGCAAGATTTAATTTTTGAATATGGCGAGTGAAAGTCGCGTGAACCATGCCTTCTGACGTGTCCTATGTTGCGATCACTGTGAATACATCCTTACTTCAGAGGCTGAGGTGTGACAAAATGGCACTAACAAAGTAAACTTAAGGCTCGTTCCCAGGGAATTTGCTGCACTTGTGTTTCCCCCCACTTATTGGTCGTATCATAGCGGAGCCACAGCTCATGAGGAGTTTCCTCGGCGGTTGCTGGGTTGTGTTTGTGAATACAGATCGCACAGACGGTTGTAGCGTTCAATGTCTTGAACTCACTCTTGTAGGCGCTGTCAACAACAAACCGCAACTCGGCCGTTAAAGGCTTCGGTTGTGGTTCCAACTTCCCGGATTCGAGCCGCAGACCTACTCTCCATTCCCTTCTAGGGCAAATAAACCCGAACCCGGTTGTGGATTGCGGGGATGTGATCAGGCAACATTCATAATGGTCGACCATAAAAATCCGTCAACTTCCAGTTTAGTGACCTTGGTGGCAGATATCTAGGTTTGAATTCGTCATCCGGTTTGCGCCACCATGGAGGCAGCACAGTTATCATTCTCCGCCTTCAGCCGCTGGATTGTTCTCCAATAAGTCTGTATAATCGTCTGCATAATCGTGCAATCCGATCTGCAAAGCCCACGTTGTATGTTCCAACACCTGCGGCCACACAACACATTGCTGTAAAAATCACGACGGTACTTGTTTCACTGGGATGGATTGGCGTTTGCTGTTCATGGTATTTTATGCGAAGCCTCATACACCACTTCGGGGGCAATCGGCCAAAGTGGAGTCTGCGGTATGTTCATCCAAATAGGCCTATCTGTGGCTCGGGCGGACTTGAATCTACTAAGTTGTCGCGAAATCGATTCGGCTTTTTAGCGTACTTTTGCAATCATTATTTATTTTACACAAGAAACAATATGTAATCAAAGTAAGATCCATTGTCATCAACGAGGGATTGCCGACGCCCAGGCTAGCTGCCGATGTCTCTCTCTTAGAACAAACTGGCCTGGTTAAGGTATTGGGCAAGGTACGTTTCCATACGCTTGCGGTCATCGAATCTCATCTCCTTGATGTGCTTTTGCCTGGAGAAAGGTCCGGGCTGCTGAATCTTGCGGCGCATAATCTTCGCCACAGGAGGACGTGGATTGTCATGCAGGCGAAGGAGTCGAGCCGCTCTTGAACGCTTTTTGGTGTTGGTCGACCAAGTCTTGCAGTTGTTGTCAGTAACCTTGGAATTGTCAGGTAGTAGTTTCCAAATGTTGACGCCGCGGGGACCCCACCAGAGGGGTAGTACCACCTTTTGCCGTGCAATTTGCTTTAATGGACTTGTAATAGCGTATTAGCTGCTACAATCCACTGACTCTTCCTGCTATGGTTGACATGGTGCATCCACTTCTTGTCTCCAATAACGAAATCTTTCAGCCATCATTGATTACGTCCTCGGGTGAGCAATAAAAATGTGATGGCACAACGGTTCAAAAGCTGCTCATTAGTCAATTCATGTGGTACAACTTGTGCGAGCTTTGGGACCACTCTGGATTGGCGCAAATGGCGATGAACGGTGGTTTTTAGAAGGCCAGGGTGCGACGAAACTTCACCCACACTTTGTCTCGGATCCTCCTTTAGAGCGTCCGGGACATTGCTGACAAAGGCCGCTGGCTTGCACCCTTGACCTCCGAGGTTTGACACTTCGTAGTTCCCTACTTTGAAACGACGAAACTGAAATTTCACCATACCCAGAATTGGAGCATCCGTGCCTACTACGCCACGCATGTTTAAACAAGCCTCGACCGTTTTGCGCCCATGTAGGAACTCGTACAACATGCATCCGTGAACAACATGTTGATCATTTGCCAATACCGCAGCCAATGATAAAATGTAGACTAAATGAACAATGTAAGATTATGGTTCCAGTGTGTACCATTATATACCCATATGATATAGACTTCGGAAAGTTTCCCGAAAATTCTGGGATGGCATAAAAATAGTCGCTTAATTTCTGGACAACCTAATAGTTGCTTTCCAACCGGTAGTCTTAAGTGCCCATCTGTCGAGAAAAGTTGCCCCATCGTTGACATTGCACAGAGGGACTAAGCACATTTACACATGTTTGCAAATTCCTGAATTTGCCTTCTGGCGGTAGCTTCCACGGAAAGCTCAATACTTATGGCTTGATTAGTAATACGCAATATCGTCAATTTGTTAGTCACTACGATAATGCTGCTACTAATAATAATCATAGGTATATTTCTCATCAAGTGAGAAGCTGCGTCCATACTTGACACAGATCATATACGTACTTCCCCAGAACGCCTGTTGAAATTGTGCCGCCTACATGGTTTTGCTGTGACAGTTCGGCTCCCACCGGTCGATTGGGTGTCTACCATTTGGTTTGGTGTCGCCTCAGCTTTGCCTATCTACGTCGATGGGAATGAGTACAGAAGTTTGTCTCGTTGCCCTCCGAGAATTAAAAAGAAAGTCTGGGCTGCGATCACAAAAACCACCATTAAGAAGACTCGTGGTTACGTATAGAGTACATACAGAATTTCACTGTTGTCCATTCACCGACTGACCCTCGCCAACTGGCCTGTAAAGTCGGTCACATCCCATTGTTTTGTGCTCGTTCTGCATACGATCTACGCTTACAGTGTCCATGGTTCCACTGCGCCTCGCTTTTGCCCCCACGGATAGACTGCACAGTGCCGTCTGATTGTTCGTCCACTCATTTAGTCGATGATCCCACGATCGGTTATTTGAAACAGCTGTCTATGTTGCTACAATGAGGTCAGGCATATGTCATCTACTCGCCGTAAGGCAGACGAATCCGCGTTTCCGCGTACTATTTCTCCAATGCGCTGGGCCGGTTTCATTCCGCGTAATCAGTTCGCATGACTAGCCTGCTGTAAGAATAGTTGACATTTCCCATTACGGGTGGGATAGATTGAGCCGTTTTGCAAAACCACAGTCGTACTGGTTGAGAAGAATCACAAATATATTATACTGCATAGAACAACGTGGTTGCTTTTCGTCATCGGTGCCAGATTGGGCTAAGCTGGAGGTAAGAACATCTTTCTCCATAGGTGAGCGTTGATTAGCGCTCCGTGACAGTTTTGGTACATGAGCACTGGACATTTTACAAAGCAATTCTATCAGTCTTGCGTAGGTGGCTATGCATGATGGTGCAGTATTCTACTTTGGGACACATTCGGATTTTGGATGATTCAAGTCGTGCTTGAGATAGTGAAAATGACGTAGTGATGTGGGATGTTAGTTGCTTCGTTTTCGTTACGTAATGTAGGACATGTTCGGAGAAGTTGAAGCTGCTAGATTATCAGGTTCCCAGGTCGCGAGTGAAATACCTAGTTAGGTAGGGGGTACCAATAAGAGTGATAGATCCTGCTGGTATATAATCGGAGGCTCTAGCCTAAGAAGATGACACGGTTTCAAGACGCCTATGATCGGGACACAGGTTGCTACCCGGGCGGTGGTAGCAGGGCTGAGTCACGCCGGAAGTTGTTGAAAGTAGTTCGTCATCGTCACACAAGTCGCTACCCGACCTGCAGTACTACGGCTAAGTCACGTGGGAACCTGATAAACTCAGACCGTCAGCCTGAAACAGGTTGCTACAGGAGATGATCGACTGTGACCTAGATACTGAACCATGGTCTGTGCCTAATAGACTTCGGCCTAGCAGGTTTCGGTGTTCTGTTTTGTTCCCGGCTGGGTTGGCGTGACAGAGAGCAGATGGCAAGCATCGTTACAACAGTATACTGCATCTGTGGCAGAGTATCTAAGATTTATCTGCAGAAAACCACGTTGACCTGCATTCGCTCTATTGGTTTAGGAATGATAGATGTTCGCGTATATTTCTTGAGCATAGTTTCAGCTGGTCAAATAGAAACGCGTACACCAGTTTGCTGTCTTCTGCAAATAAAAGGGGGCGCTTTTTTATAATTTATGCACATATATATATATATATATATGTGGTTGGCGGCATCCGGTTTCGGATTTGCATGTCACTGTGGCCAGTCACAGGACGCCTGCGCCTACAGAGGGACCATGAGTGGCTTGCGCTGCACCACCCACAGCTCCAACCACACACCCCATATCCAGTGTAAACCCGAAGGAATAAGACCGGGAGGCATGCGGATGGGAACCACGTTTCATCAACGGAGCCGGCCCACACTCCTTCACAGGTAAACACAGGCACGCTGTATTTGGGGAATCAACCAAACACAAGGCAGTGGCTGGACCGTAGTCCGCTACACACTGAGTGCATGGAACCGCTCTTTGAGCCTAGCACGGCCACAAAGACCGTGCACCCCGTCCCCTCCAACAACGACCAACTGTCTCCTGGAGCCAGTATGAACGAGGTAGTGGGTAATAGACAGGTAGGCACCTTGTCAACATACACATCAAGCGCAGCCACACCGGGGAAATCAAACAACAGCCATTCACTTTAAACGACAAGCTGAAATAAAGTAAATCCAATAATGCATACAGATACGGTGGCATAACTCTTCGCTAAATACAATATATGAAGTAAGTTGGTTAGCAACAAATCCGTGATAAGTAAGAAATGTCCACAAGTTCTTTTAAAATGCTACAAACGCAACAAAATTACCAAAGATAAGCGCAATTAGCGCAGGCAACATGGCCGGTTAATAGAACATCATTCAGGGAGGCAGAACAAACCAAATAAAGTGGAATGAAATTTATCCAGCTTAAAAAGACCTAGTTTAAGTGTAAGTTGGTTTAGTCCAACTGCAGTGAAGAAGCACCATGAATGCAACATCAGCCTCAGCATGGGACACAATTTAATCATACATATATATATATGTATATATATATATATATATATATATATGTACACGAGTCAAGTCAAGAACTCGCTT